TGTATTTCCATTAAAACATTTTTTAGCTATTTTTCTCTAAAGTAAACTTGAAAAAAGGAAACTTTTTATGGACCTTAGCTAGTTATACAACACAAATGTGAGAGAACGAGTCGTACTGCGACTTGCTCCCTCACATTTTGGCTACAACATTTAATGAACTGAAATCAAGAGTCTTAACCCTTTAAATCCCAAGATCTGATAGTTAATTCTCCCCTCTAGCTACTACTCATTTCCTCGCTAATGAGTTATGAGAACTTGCTGCTAGATCAAGATAGCAGCTTCAACCTGACAAGATTGAATATTCACATTATCTGTTTGCTGAATAATGTATGGATATTGTAGGGAGAAGTTTTGTGTTAATCACTTCCAGGAGTTAAAGGGTTAATGCATTGTTTTTATATCTCACTCGTAGGGAATTAATTTATCATCACCTCTCTAAAATACTGAATGTCATTGTATAATTTGTTTAGTTTGATTTCAAAGCAACAGGTGTAAATTAAGATTTTTTCACTGATGATGATGTTTAATGTCGTTCTTTTTATTTAAGATTTTTACCTGATGTCCGCTGAATTGTACTCTGTTTGCAAGACAACTTTTTGCTTTAAATACACAACCATTAATACAAAAGAAAGAGAGCCCATAACATGTCATTAACCTTGCTGTTTTAAAATAAAAGATGGGCTTTATACATTGAATTCCAGTTGAGTGGTTACTGATCCCTTGCTTAGTTTGAGCTGGTCAAGTGGTTAACCCTTTACACTCTTACATTGTCAGTCATATTCTGTACCCTGTCTTCTTTGCATCCCATTGGATCCCATTTCTTATAGTACAGACAAGGAGAATTTGTTTGACAATCAGGAGCCTCTTAAATTGGAGTTAATTTCCACCATTGTCTTGACTTTTACATTTGATCCAAGGGTGATACTGTAAGCAGAAAGGAGAAGCTAGTCGCAATTTGGGGGTTTTAAGGGTTCACTGATGGAAACAGCGAATGATAACCGAAATTTAGCATTTTCGTAGACCGTGCTTGAGATAGTGCTGTCAAATTACGCATTTACTGAGCAACAGCAAATGCATAATATTTAGTTTGACGTTCATTGAGCCGTAGAAGGCTAGATTTGTGAAAAATACGACGATTTTTTTGGTTTAAAACTAATGTACAAGCACACAATATTCGTACATTTTATGTGTTTCGGCTTTCAATTATCAGCTTATGTAACCGCGTGTGCCAGGTACACATAGTTCAAGAGTTTGCTACACAAAGGTATAACATAACTAGTGGCTAGATTCTATGTGCATACTACGAGTAGAGATTTCATAACCCTACCTCAACAGTCATAACCTCCAAATCAGTGCTTGCTTCAATACTTGCGAAGAAGTGGTGCTTATCGTTTTTGTGATCTAAGTGAACAACTACCCCTAGCCAACGGTGTACCGTGGGAGGTCTGGGACGGAGTCAACCCTGGATAATCCGACTCGTGATTGAGGAATTAATCAAACTCGATCAAACACTCGATTAGTGATGTAGGTTATTATAGGCCTCGATTCTCGATAAGTCTTAATATAAAGCACGGTGATAAGTCGAAATCCATTTAAATAGTAAATACAGACATGGGAAATAATATCAGACACGGAAAATAATATCAGACACGGGAAATAGCAGACAATGAGGAGGTCTGAAAGTGGCCAACAATAACGGACCCTGTTAATTGATTTCCGACACGAAAATTAATTTTTCGATAGGGAAAATACCCAGACTGAATTTTGAACGGTATGTTACGCCATAGATCATTACGTTTCGTCGCGTGTGTTTTTCCTGTGTGAAGCAACAGAAGATGCCGGCGACTGACGAAATAACAAGTTAACACGAAAATCAAATAACACCTAAACAAACAATCTTAGCTACCGATTTTCAGTGAATTTTTAAAGAACAATTTTCTTTTAAGTTTCAAGACAATTTGAAGATTCAACATACATACAACGTACTAAAATGCGAAAGTTTCACACCACAAAATTGATAAATAGGCCTGAAATGAAATTCTATCTTGTTATTGATTATACGTTGCCTGGCACGTGACTTAAATCTATCCAGGCGGAGATCCAAAATGACGGTGGCAGGCTTGGCTTAGTTCTATCACTCAAAACTCGTTCCCGTTTGTCTCATTTGATAAAGAGGGAATCGTTAATGTTTTCATCAAGACAGTATTGCCTTGATTTTCTAATATTTACAACGAAAGAAAGTAAATTTCACTTTTCACCCACATTTACTTCCAACCTTTTCTTTTGAACCAGAAACAAAAATAATAGACGTTTAAAACACATGACATCATCCACCTTGTCAAATGTAATAGCATGATCATTTCAATTGTAATGCCTTCTTATCCCAACGTTACTTTGCTTCTTTGCTACGTTAGCGAACACTGAACTACTGCTCGTACTCTAGATATGACAATCAATTCCCTAAACCAGATAACATAGTCTAAAATCATGTGTCAATTCACGAGTTTGCTCACGGAGCACTTTGATCTGTACTGGAGGCCGTCGCTTTTCGGATTGGAACACCTCTACCCATATTTATCGCTGGAACATGTACGGCCACGTTAATTTACTTGAACTCAACGATTAATCCCTTTCTATACTGCTGGAAAATTAAGGAAGCGAGGCAAGCTGTGAAGCAGATATTAAGAAAGTGCCTCTAACGATGGAAAAATATCGAAAAACGATAGCCTCCATTTAGCGCGAAAATATGCCCTTGTTGTGTAACTGTTTCGTGCTGTTTCAGGCACAGGTCATTATTTACCGCCAGGGAGGAGGGGGGGGAAGGGTCGTAGGATTTTGGTTGTGTCACAATAAAAGTTACCTGATCCCATCTTGAGGCTCTTTAGTATTCTAATAATCCCTCCCCATTCAGTCAATTTTTCATACTCCCCTTTTATACTCCAAGAGCGACGACTGACCCCCCTCCCCTCCGTTCCCTAAAAACCATGTGATCCTATAAAAATCCTTCGACTTACCCCCCCCCCCCCCTTTTTCCACACCCTTATGCAGGCGATAAGTTTTGGTTCATCTTGAGAATATAATAACGACTGTATTGTACATAAGCTTGACACAAAAAGCATACGTTTTATTCCCAGTTTGCGCTTCATTTCGCCGGTAAAAGAAAGAAAAGAAGAGAATTCAGTTTTAGGCACAAAAGTGATCCTTTCAGTATCATATCAAGGCCATGGGCCGGAATCAAAGAAAAGATCACCAACTTGATTTTCTGGACAGATTCTCCTCGTCAGTACTATTGGAAATGTAGAGAGAACAGTATGGAGAATATGCATACTGATGTTAGGGTGTAAAGGTCAAGTTGGAAAACATTAGAGCGAAAAAAAAAAAAAAAAAAAGACCTTCCTTGCAATCTATCAGGTGAAGGGCCCTGAATTCCAATTTATTGTTGTTTACTGTTATTCCAGTTTACAGTTGTTTAATGTTCTCAAGAGGATTATGAACCGGGGAAGGTAGTGCAATCATGAATTATGAATCAGGGCAGTTATAGTTACTTTCACTCCCACCACCGTAATGTATTTCAACAGAACACACACACACACACACACACACACGACTCACTTTGTTACAATTACAAGTCATCAAGATGCAAATATCTCATCGCATCTAATAACAAGAATTCTCGTTAACAAATATCTCGACTTTCGCCAGCCTCACAAAACTGTTAATTGGCGAACACCAGTTGGCTCTCGTAAGATCTGCAGTCAAGTAACAATGGCAAGTCTAATTTAGACTGTCAGTAATGGTGTATATCTACGAAAAAATTGGCAAAAAAGGATAGAGCGCTTAAGTGGGAGAAAAGAGTTCGGGAGTGGGTTGTCATTCCTTGCAAGTCACGGCATGATGGAGTTCACGTGAGCGGTCAGCGGCTGACGTTACCACACGATAAGTGCTCGTGTTTACTTTTTTACTGCTTAGTTGCTAGTTTGTTTGTGAGGCAGATTGCTCGGAATGTGGACGTGGAAAAGTCTTGGTAAGTTAGAGAATTCATGATATATTTTGTTACAAAATATACTATTTAAGACTCCTGGAGCTCATGCAGTTGGGCTCAAACTGGAAGAGCTACTTCGTGCAACTGTTCAGTGTAACTATTGAGCGCGCAACAACTTTAGATTCAGTGCGCGCGCTCGTGATGGATTTCCTGGGCTAGTTAATTTAGATTTCCTTCTTTTCCTATAAAATTTTTTAGTTAATCAAGATATTTAATTTTTTTGCTAAAGCACGGTCCACAAAACACGGCTACATCACTTGGCGAAGAACCACTCATCTAATTCCTTGAGGTGAGACATTTTTAGATGGATGTTAGGACTTTAGATAGGTGGGGTAAACTTTCCCCCGACCCTGGCCCCTCCTAAGGGAACCTACCATGGTTGAGAACAACTGGGGTATCCAATCAATGAAAAAAATTATTGGTGACAATCACAATCAATCAATACCAATGAATAGTAATAAATTGATTGATACTGATTTTCAAGAACTAATCAATGTCTAGCATTTGTATGGGTAAGCCATTGATGTCACCATTAAGCATTGAAAGTGGTTGTCAATTGATACCAATCAACTTGAATTAATCAACTTACTGTATATTGTTATTAATTTGATGGTAGAATCAGGAGAATAACATTGTATGTCACTGTATTATATACCCAGGGACAGTTTTATTGACAACTCAGTGTTAATGGTTAACTTAATGGCAGAACCATGAGAATAACAATGTGTTTGATTGCATTATATACGCTTTATATAAAATATTGTCGTCAGAGCTTTGACCCCTTTGACTATGGTGATCAGTGCGTAAAATACTCTCAGAAACTCACTACTGTCCCAAAATTAATTGAAGCAGGAAGTTTGTATAAATTATGTAGATTATTGTGATTAATAAGGATTAACCTTGAAATGAAATCATTCTGACTACACTCACACAAGACATTCATTGTGAAAAGTTTATTCAGGATGAGTTGGTCAGTCTTCTAGTATACAGATCCTGATACAATGTTATAATAAAACTAGGGGTTCTACATGAAGAACCTGTGCTGCACCAGATATAAAAAAACCACTAAAAACCACTCATTAAATGTGGCCAAAAAATGAGTGGAAATGTGTTCCTCATCAAATGCTGCAGCACAATACCCTGAGGACCGGGTAAACTAACCTGGTTGCAGTATTAATTACTACCAAAATTACAAGAAATATAAAAAAGAAAGTGGTCAAACGTAAGACTTACCGACCTAGAATGACTTAATTTTCCTGCAAAATGCTTACATGATCCAAAACTTCCATGATGCCACACAAACCACTTCAAAATGCCATCAGAATAAAAATTTCTGACATATTGGTTCCCATGTCAGTCAAACATCAGAAATTACATAAATTCTCAGCTGTCAAAGGAACTACAGTAATGTATAGTTTTGAAAATTACATAATATGATGCGACAGGTTGGGAATGAAAAGTTAATAATATATTTAGAACCTGGCTCCTTGATAAAACTTTGTTAGGGTTGGGTTTCTTCAAAATCCTTCCATAGAATAAAAAGGTTGTAGGTCTGTCATCCATGACTTCCTCAACTCTGTCATCAAGGAGGGAAGATCTGGGAAATCTCGATCATTAAATGATAGTTTTCCTGTGTCTCTAACGACCTATTTGAAGGATTTTAAAAAAGATAACATTACCATGATACTGAAGTTCATATTGGAATCCAATGAAATAGAAAAACAGAGGAGCAAATTACATCTACATTAAGTTTTATTTTCTTCAGCCCAACAATTTCAATGCCTGAAATTGATTAGAAATGGCCTGCATGCTATGTGTCCACATTTTCTTCAACACCAATAGGCTTGAATCATTTACTCTCCCTGAAGAGAATGTTCCCTCTTGTATACAGTTTACCCTCAGCATGTAACCAGGTTTCCCTGTAATCTTGTCAGATAATCATTTTAGTACACAAAACTCTGACCTCATCCAGAGCTCAAAATGAAGTCCTAAAAATTGTGAGAAGTTAAGATTTTCAAAAGAATTTACTGAAGTCATGTTTTTAGCATGAAGAAAACCTAACATTTTTAATGTTACTTACCTCGATTGGAAAGTCAACAATACTTAGACCATTACGGGACTTTTTGGTCAGCAAAAAGCCTGGTTGACCGTAACATTTGAACCGGACCAAGAAGGCTCCCCTTTTTTCACTCTGCAGTTTCTTTTTGGCCTCTTCTTCTGACATATATCCAGCAAACCAGCTGAGGAAGATGAAACAGTTTGTGTGATTTTCATCCAGTAAGATTTTACAATTTCTAGTTCACATGATGTGCTTGCTGAATTTTACACCTTTGTTGGCCTAATTGGCCAAAATTTTTTTTTTTTTTTGGGGGGTTGGGAGGGTCATAATCATGCAAAAGTTTGGTAACCCAAACCTAAACTAATTTAAGGTACCAGTAAAACTAACTATTAACTATATTTACCTTGTTCTTTTACCATCAGCATCAACAGAAACTGAGTTCTTCATCAGATGGAGCATCTAAAGGTTAAAGTTGTAGTTAAGTGTCATATCTCTTAGTTGCGCTGTTGGCATACTCCTCTTTGAGCTTTTTTTAAAAAGAGGCATCATCTGTACTTCATGAAGTTAAGCAAAATTGTGGCAGGGCAAGGTTGAAATTTTTTAGAGGGCAATTGTAACAGTTACACTGTATTTTGGAACTTTTAAAGGTTTGGCATTTTCCTTGAAAAGTAAATAAAATGTGTTTTTATTCTTCTATTGATCCACAAATCTTGTCTGTTTTTTTTTTTAAGCATATGGTCAACATTAATTACATGCACATCATCATAACAATTTTTCCTTCTGCAATGCTGCTCGTGATAGTGTTTATAGGATTATTGTACCTGTAAATGAAATGTTTTAATTGTCATCACAGTCATCATTTCTGTAGTTGATATACTATCAAGAATGAGTTAACTAATATGTAATGGTAACATGTGATTAGAGTGTAGTTATCTATAGCTGAAAAAATTTACAAACAGTCACAAGTCAAGCTCTCAGGTCATCACAAAGTAATTATACTGCAGTGTAGAATTTAAAAATTACAATCAGTGGAGATGTACTGGCTGTATGTACTAGGTAAATTCTGTAATCATTATATTGTGTTGAAGGAATAGTATTTAATATGTGGTTTTGCGTTACTCTTATTAATATTATTGGCATTTGTAACTCCTTTCTTTTACCTTCTTTAGGCAGCCTTGCATTCCTTCATTGGGAGATCCAAACCACACTGAGAGTCTTATGAAGTTATGGCGGTAGACAGGTGCAGATTCCTTTTTTTCTAAACATTTTTTAAGTACAACAACTTAAATTTAGCATCAGGTTAAGGCAGTGTCGGGAGATTTGGTGACCAAACTTGGTTACCAAGCTCTTTGTACTGTACCATTTATGGGTCCCATTGTGATGTGGTCCTAGGTGCACTGACTGCAGTAGAGTGTATGGATGCTAGGAATCAGTCATTGTGCATGGTAAACTGCAGTACCTTAGCAACCCACTAAGGGGTTCCTCCATTTCCACCATGTAAAAAACTGGTTTTTGATCGGTTGAGGAGGAGGTTACTATCAATGACATTTTATTAAAATAGATTTTTTTTGACAGGCATGTACATTTTCACCTTCTCAAAACTAAAATGTTTATCAGCACCATTTTTTGACCTTCCCAACTAAATGAGAAATGTCCTCAACATGCTAGGCATTTTTATTGGGAAATGTCTGCACTTTCACTTTGTCATAGCACACGTATGTTGTCAGCATTATTGTAGATAGGTAGGTTGACAGTTAATCAATCTTTCTTGGTGTTTTGGTTATCTTGCATGGTGCAGTTAAAGTGACAGTTATTTGAACTAACTGTGTTATTATTGACTACTTATGCAGAATTTCTTTGTATCTATATAAGATAGCTCTGACTAGTCCTTACCATATTTGCCCATGAGGACATACATAAGAAATTTTAACAAGGCAATTCCTTCATGCTGTAGGTATTCTGAATATGATCCCTTGACAGCACCTTCAAAGTCCTTCCAACTCTATATAAAACAGATTTTAGCATAATAATGTCATGTAAACCTATGTAATTTTTATTATTTCTTTTTGCCATATTATGGGATCCCTTTCTGTAAGACAATAAAATAAGTCAAAATAAGTATAAGTTAGTCAAGAAGCTGTTCAGTCCTTTATTTTTCTTATCATATTTTGCACAGTTAGGTCGGTTGCAGAGGGGTCTTTTTGGAATGGTGTGAAAGAATCTGTCATTAGTCCTAAAAAACAGTGCTCAATAATTAAGAGATGTTAATGTGCATTTTAGTAGGGTATCAAATCATTTCATACCCAAACCGCAGGTCAATTTGTACCAGTCTCAACATACATTCATTCAAAACACCTCACATGCAAGCATGTGAGCAGATGTTGATTGCATATGAAAATTCAGTAGAGTCAAGGGAATTAGAGACAAACAAAATTCAGTTGTATACTTGTGACCTTTGAATCAGAAACAACTAGTTTGTGTATTTGTTTGTCTCCCTTTGGTGGTCACATTTAAAAAAATGCATGCCACATAAACAAAATATGTTCTATGAAAACTGAAATTACTTAAAATGTGCTTAACAGGTAAAGCATACTCTGACTCACAGTTTGGGTACAAAATGACTCAACTGACTGGGTACCAATCAACCTAGCTGGGTATGAAACAGGTTTGTACCAAATTACCTGTTGAACCTGTAACCTTGTTGCTTTTTAAATTGTTTTTTAAGGTGGATTTTGTTATTCTATCATACATCTCTGTTGTATCATTGTAGTTATTGTTTGGCAGATGTATTTTAAAATGAAAAAAAGTTTACTGTAGGTTCTAGAGAGCAATAGTGTCATAGTTCTGCTTGTATATAGACAGAGCTTAACAAGAAGGGGGAAGAAGGAAAGTGATGTGAAGGACATTCATAAGGATGCCTCTCTTGTGAAATTGAAAGTAAACAATTACAGTTGCACCTTTTCTTTCGGACCACCTTTTATGGATGACCAGAAGTCAGACAGTTCATTATTTGCTTCTTCAAAATCAAGGAGCTCCTCTGTGAAGATGATCAATTAAAGAGTGGTTCATACAAAAAGTCAATTGTATACTTGACAAGCAATGAAATCAAAGTTGTGCTGGAATTTTATCAGTGCATGTATTAAGTTTCTAAAGAAACTGCAAAGAGTTTCGTAGGTGACATTTTGATTGTTGGCCCTTTGTCAGAGCAAATGTGTGTACTACAGTATATGATTTGCAATTTAAATAAAATATGATGCACCATATACATGTGTTTATTTTTATTATACAGTTATATAACTGTATAATAAAAATTAAAACATGTACAGAGATGGTATTAGAGAAAACCCCATACTATTTACAAGGTGGAGCACTTGGTTTTTCTTAGGTGCCTACCTGTAAATTAATCAATTAAGTAGCCATACTTAACACAATAAAGAATGCAAATCTTCTCTAGTAAAAGCATTCATTTAGGTCACAATAGCTGTGTTGTGAAGTTTGCCAAGTCACTTTTACTCACATAGCCTCTTCACCCAAAAATTTAAATAAATAGTGGCAAAATGTTAAGAAAGCCTTGAATATGCTGAAAGGGGGGGGGGATGGGGCCAAAGGTGACCCTTTTATGGTGTGGTATCCCATCCAAGGAGAATAATCATACATCCTCAGTAGTTCTTTCTTGCCACTGAAACAAAGGCAAGTTCTGTAAATATAGACCAATAGAGATCAACAGCTGGTAGTTATTTAGTTTTGGTAGCAGGAAAAACTAACCTTCTGTGGTACTGCTGGTCACTGATGAACTTTCATCACCATCTGTCTCTTGGCCTTTCTCACCAATTAAGAGACTGAACTCAGACTGGAAATCGGCTTCAAAAGATTGATAAGCAAGCATGTTCACCAATTTTTTTTCAGCCCTCTTGCGTCGTGATCTCTCTGCTTTAGCCAAAATGTGCAAGCTCTTTTCTTGGGAGGTGGTCCAAGGTTTTTGAAAGAAATTAATCTGACTGTCAGATAAACTGCGTGGTCTCTGTTGAACATTTCCAAAAGTTTGATCAACTGTGAAATTCATTGACCAAGTAGATTAATAAAATTCCACAGATATATTCACCAAATAATACTGTAGTATAGAATTTAATTTGGCCACTTTCAATCTTTTTTTTTACAATAAAGGTTGCAGGTGGAAAGATGCAAAATACTAGCAATAGGGAACACTTTCTAGATGAGTGAAATTTCCCAGGAGGTTTTTCAGGATCCAAGTCATGAAAAGTTTATTTTTCTTTTTTTTTTTTTTTTTTCCTTTTTCATTTTTGAAATTCATAGGTGAGGCTTTTTGAGAGCCTGATTGAGCAGTGACAGATCTAGGGGCCTGGGGGGCTTAGCCCCTCCCTTATTTTGTGTAATAAAAAAAAAGAATCACAGAAGGAAGAAAAGCTGGCAGGGCAAGTGACAAAAAACCTTAGCTCATGGTCTGGATCTGCCACTGTTGAGATTGGTTTTTCAGTAGACAAACTGTTAGAGGCAAATTGCATGAAATTGATGTTGGTTAACCAAAGTGATACATTCTTCTAAATACCTGTTAACAAGTACTACCTTGCTAGCTATATTCTTTTGATTTGACTTGTTGTACACCAGGTGTCTATTATTATATCCAGGCATGAAAGTACATCTTGTGAATTTGTTATCTTATGGAGGCTTTACTTCTCTTAATGTCACAATTGAAAAAAGATAAGTCTTTTGAGATTGTAATTTTGGCTAATGGCTTTTCATTGGTTTAATTCTGAGGAACCCCAAGAATTGAGGTTTCAACTACTTTTTTCCTATCGATTTTCCCTTGTCCCACTCTTCTTTAATCCCATTTACCCCCTGAGCTGGAACCTTACCCTTTTGTTTAACAACCATGAGTTCCAAACATACTTCACGGTAAATATTCTCATCTAGAGTTACACTCATTGTTATCTCTTTGCCATCTGCTAGTGCTTTTAGTTCCTCTGTGATCAAAACCTCTTCCAAAGCTTCTAGAAGCTTGCCACTTTGATAATTTAGCCACAATTCCTGTAGCCCTGGCAGATGAGTTGCTTCTAACACACAAATGATAGAACCTTCACAAAGGTACTTTATCATTACTCCTGATGGAAGGACCACTGATGCAAACAAGCCAGCAAGAGTCACAGGATCATTTATGTACCTCTTGAGGATAAAGAATGTTCCAGCAAACCAAGCACCTTTTGAGGCCAACTTAACAGCAACATGAAGAGAAATTTCTATGTGGAATGAATTTTTGAAAGTGAAGCCACTTGTCAGTTGTTGGCATTAGTCTCAATTGGACCATCTGCTTTCCATTTGTTACAAATTCTTACTTATTTTTAGTCCACATGATACAGTAAGAATTTGGACCTCAGCACTTGTGGATTGGACTCCAGGGCTGAGTTGTTAAAAAAATTATTACTTTAACCTAGGCATATAGTAAGATTAATTTGTGAAATAGGTGTACTAGTATGTAGGTAGTCTACAAATTCTACTTTGATTATTTCTTACGTTTCTTATGTTTTGCCTCAATGAAACTCAAATATGCAATAGCCAGTGCTCTGGTGTGTGCATTGATACAAGAGAAATTAATGGGCAATTAGTTACAACTGCTTTTCTAACAACTGGACCCTGATCAACCAGGAGACCTGGTTGTAACCCTGGATCAGCTATTAGGTCACTGTGTTATGTTAACTTTTCATCAACTGAAAATATAATGGAGCCATTCCTGGTGTAGTCATTAAGAATGCCTGTCTCATCCCCTTCCCTCACAGCACTAGGTGCAATTGTAAGTTCTGATCTAACTTATGGGTTAATTGATGGTTTTTATCCTTCTTCACAGGTTATTCCCCCAACTCCTCCAGTTTTTCTCCCACCCTAAGAACCAACATGTTCAATTTAAAACAGGTTATTTGATCTCTTCTGTCTTCAGTAGGTTGAAAGGTATACTTTTATTTTTCAAGTACTATCTCGCTTCTGAGAAAAGTAACATCCCACCCAGAAGAGAAGCAAAAATCCAAGTCACTTCTGATCCATGAGCCCTAGTGCAAACAGTGACAATGTATTAAGGCAAATACAGTTTACCTCTTGGCTCTCTTTCATTTGGAGGACGATGAACTACACAAGGACATCTATTCTGTAACCTGAGCTCCTCTTCATCCACCTGCCTTCCACCTAAAAAAATGATCATCCCACCATTAAATACAGTCATTGCTCTTTAGTCACTGCATGATCCTTTTCATGTTTTCAATAAATTTGTTTCAAGTCAAAAATAACCATAGTTACCATCATTAGAAAGCAGTTGTGATAACTTTTTACAATGGGGTTATTTTTCAGTTGGGTTCTGTGTAGTTCTGTGAGCTTAATGACATTATTATAATAATGCTTTCGACTTTCTATGAAAAATCTGATTGGTCAAGAGCATTCTATCAATATACTATAGTGTGTCAGTGAAGATGATATGAGAACCCAGAATCTACAGGTGGTATTGCAGTTATCAGGTTGAGTTCAAAGTCAGCCCTAATTAAACTCCCTGTCCATGTAGTGTTCTCAAACTTTTACAAATTCAGAGAGGTTTCTTCTTTTGCAGGTTGTGTGAAAAATGTATTATAAAACAATTATTGAATTTGGCTTTTGCATGATATCATGGATTGCCAAATTCATGTCAGTGTTATCTGCCTTAACCTTCAGCTTTGAGAGATAACCAAGACCTTGGTTTGGTAGTTAATAAATGATGTCATGCTCAACCTCATCCAATAATTGCTCTTTCCCTGTGCCATTTTCTGTCATTCAGCCCCACTTAAATGGAGCCTGGCTGCCTAGAATAAACATATCCTCCAGATTTTACTTTTTATTTTGAAAGATGTGTGAGAAATGCATGTATGACAAATTCAGAACTTTTAAATGATTTGTGAACTTCTTCAACTGTCTTTTTTGTTCAAACATTCCCCTTTTTCCTACTTAACTATATACCGAAGATATATCATCAACCAATCCAATTACTGATTGTTCTTCATGACACTTACTCTAGGCTGTTAGACCTTAACTGCATGGATGAGAAAATGTAGGGGAAGGTGGTTGTGGGAATAAGCAGGAAGATCCAAGATCTTGGATCGGTTATCTGGGTTTCTGGTTCCAAGCAATTAGCGAACTTGAGTAGATCCATGGCATCCATTGCTATATTTGTGCGTGACTGTTTGGGTTTGGGGGACGGGGGGAGGGGTTGTTGACTCCGTGCCTCAAGAAACAAGACACTCACCCGACGTCTTCAATGCTTCTGTGCGACTAAGAGGCTGATCCCCTCTGCTTTCTCCCATCACTAAACATTTGACTACTGCATCGCAGAGGTCTTTGCCATATCTTAGCTGTTTTCTTTGTTCCTCTAGGCAGAGTTTTCGTCGTAAAATAAAGTCGTTTAGTCTCCCTACCAGCTCTAAACACGTGACGTTCCCTAAAAGTTCCCTTAAAAATGATAGATTGTCAATGTCCATCATTTTGAGCCTTTCAAGCTCTCTAAAGAGTTGCAAGGGAGAAGTGATCGTCTCAAGTTTTCCTTCTGAAATAAAATCCACGCATAAGTATTTCATTTGTTCCAGCTTTTCTTTTGTGATATTTTCTGCTATCCTTAAAATAAACGATCTGTAGTTTGTTTCCATTTCCTCGCCCTTTTCTGGTCACGAAGAGTTCCAAAATTCAGAGTTGAGAGACAGTGGTATTTACCAATATGAACTACACATTCGCAAATGGAAAGTAAGAAACTTAGGGTATTCCCCTCTGTGCTATATTTAGGTAAGACGCTGTGACGTCATGAGTGTCTGTTCCCATGTATTACACAGACAGCTGCGCGGCTGGAATTACGCCGTTACGTTTCTAAGAGTAGCTGGTTTTGTCTTGGAAAGCTTTGATATATGCATTATAATGATAAAAAAAAACGGAGACCCTGGGAATCACGATAAGAAATTGATAATTTTCATTCAAGCGCCAATATAGCGAAGATCCAGGCTTTTCAGGGCCTCCGAGCTGCTTGTCACGCACATCTCTGTACAAACTTCTGGTGCTTGCGTCATTTTATCGAAAGCGAATGGAGGGAATCAATACATGAAAACACAGCAGGTATTGGGTCCTTTCATATCATCCACGTTCCTGAGATGTGGTGAGTCTTAAGTATGAGAAGACAGATTACGTGAGAAATCTAGCACTCGCGATAATCTTTATTGGATCACCGTGATACGTTAACTAGAGAACTTTTGGTTGTGGAAGTTTTACAAAGGATCACTTGATGAAAAACTTTATCGTGTACTTGAGAGTAAAAATTATCATTCCCATTTCAGAGAGGAATGGGTGTTTCCACGCTAAAGGCTTTCTAAACCATCAATTGCGAATAACTTCGGGGCGATTTGCATTTTCGAGTTAATTGACATTCTGTATTGGCTAAGATACAAGTTTCGCAGACCGTGACACACAGGAAGACGGTTTTCTCTGGCAAAACACTTCTTGCGTCTCCACAGGGAGACAGTTTTCTCTGGCAAAAATTATTGCGACGTCTTTTCAGTTCTGAGGATTCAGTTTACATCGATATGGCTTCGACCAGTTTAAGAAAAATCCAATTATCTTTTTAAGTATTTTCAACTTCTTGTTTTCCTAACTAACTGAAGCGTTAAAACAGGAAAGGAACGTATATTGTGTTTCTGTTGTATTGTGTACGGTCGTATTTGTGGTCAAGTAGTAATTAACAAATACATTCATGTTCTTGTTGCTCGTGGTAAGTCAGTTGTTTGAGACGTCAAATCGGCTCACATCGTAACTACGAGAAGCCCTAACAGCGTGTTTTAATTCTCAACTGTAAGTATAACACTTAAATTTTAACCTCACCAGAAACTAATGTCAACTCAGCTATAGTTTGAGGGATGAATTTTATCACAGAGTAACTGGAAGCCAGTTTTTCCATTTTCTTCAATGCCATTCCATCACAGTATGTTTGGCGTTTATTGGTGAGGACATGCCGAAATATAATAATTCTGTCAACCCAACCTACGAAAGACAATTGGAGAACATTCTACATGTTAGATATCGATGCCTTTGCCTTGCTCGGAGTTGCTGTCAATAAAAATTATTATAACTGAATGTAGTCATGTTCTAGGAGATTTATTTCTAATTTTTTCACTGTTTTTATTCATTTTTTGTTCTTCAGGTTACACTCATGGACAAGAGAAGTAAGCTGATCTTTTTAAGCTTGTAATATGCAAAGTATATCAATTCAAAAAGTAAGAAACATTTGAATATTTATTCATAACATTAACTACTCCTTTCTGTTTGCGAATATCGACCAGAGTTGGAGGAAAATTTAAACGAGAAATTGGCGTCTGATCATTTTGATGTTATAGCAGAAGCCATCACACCGAAAACGTTGGGAGCTTGTATTACGAACACTTTTTCGAAGGCATTTGAGGTACGTACGTTGTTAGTGTCGTTTTCAATTTTTTAAAGTGCTCAAAGTATTGTGGAATTGCATCGGAATTTCTCTACTTCGCTCTGTGTTCGGCCAGTTGATCAATAACGCTATCCAACGAATAAATTCAGTGCTATCCAGTGGATAAGAATTGATAAATTAAAACGTACTGCGCTGTCTACTGGATAGAGCTTCATCCGGCGGATGGCGTACCACCCTTCATACAACCGGTCGGGGCCTGATGAGACTGGAAACAAAACTGCAACCAATCTTGACGTGGTCACACGCATTTCCTGCGCGTATTTACTCTTTAACCCTAAGAGTGACTGGCATCTAACTTCTCCTTACATTCTCACCCTGAATCACTCATCAAGGTCACAAGAATAATAAAAGTAAATGGTCACCAACTCAAGAAGCTCTCGATTGTTAAACAAATTCTCCTTGTCAACACCTAAGGAAATGTATAGAGAACAGTATGGAGAATATGCATACTGATGTTGGGGTGTAAAGGGTGAGGGCTGCCGTGTAGTTGCTTTTACTTTGTGTTATCATAGGCTCTTTGTATTATTTCCTTCGTCTGATTGACCTTTAGTGATTGGTTTTCTGCCCGATATGAGAAAAAAGCTGAAGTATAATTATTGTGATACAGTGACAGACAACCGACACGGCTGCGTTTCATATTACTGTTACCATTAATGTTCCTTTTCAGCTTTTAAAATTTCCCTCTGCTATTTTTTCAATTAGTTTGTTTTGAGTAATGTTCTGGTGTTCCGTAGCTTACGGTTCATCCTCAGCGTTCGTTTATCATGGGGTATAGATACAGGCAGGAAGTTTGGAATCCACGAGAGAAACATCTTGAGTGCTCTAAAAACTTCCTTATTGCACCCTTACCGCGATATAGACGCACGGCTAAAAGCACGTACCAATTCTCCTATAACGTAGCGGACACAGTAATCTCGTTCAGGCGAAAGCGTTTCATGAGTTTTATTCCAAACTGTAAAAGAAAAACGTTTATTTTAACAATTTGTCCATGGAAAAATTCGCCTTTTTTATTCGATTAACCCTTTAACTCCCAAGTTGTATTGTTAATTCTTCCCTCAAGCTGCGACACATTTCCTAGTAAATTAGTTACGAGAAATTGGTGTGAGATCAGGATAACAACTTTTACCTGAGTATTCTCATTACCTGTTGGCTGGATGGTATATATATAGGTATCTTATCAGACGTTTTGGTGTGTAGTATCGCTGAGTATTTTGACGAGCCCGTAGGCGTCAGGAATTATGGACTACTTTATTGCACAACTAAACTGCATTGCACTGTCCTATGCTTTTAGCATAATTTTTTCCTCCTCTGATCATGTGAATCAAGGTTAGTGGGTATCTCAGATACCAAGCTCTTCAGGACAGGCCTGATGTTGAAGAACTAAAAAAGTTGGCAAATTCCGTGGAGGAGTTTACTACTTGTCTCATTGACCCTCTGAAAACGGACACAAGAGGCAGAGAGGCTTTTGGTGATTCGCTGGACTTGATCATAGACAAAGCTATCGAGTATAATCAAGGAAAGGTAAGTATAACCATCCTGATAGGTTGATACATAAGTTTGCATTTTGGATAAAGTATTACGGAGACATATCCCCTCGGTAGTTTTGTAAGAAGGGACATCCATACAAGTGATGTTGGTGTTAAAAAAAACTAAAAACCTCGATTGATCACTCAATTTCCACTTCAAACTTTTCTCCTGTAAGTAATTCGTAAAAATTTTGGCCACTACCTCATCGAACTATTGGTTTAACGTAAATTAAGCCTTCTGGTTTTTCAATGTGTCTCCGATTTCAGTTTAACGTGGTCTACTCCAGTCATCTATAAAAGACAAACAGTTGTTTAATCTTTTTTCTTCAAGTTCCTCTCCCATCCAGTTGTCTACAACTTACTCGAAAAAGTATGGAGAGGTCGATTTGCAGGCCTACGTTCGAGGTACATATGGAAATGGAGATTGCTAAAGCTCTACAGTCTACTGGATATCATCCTTTTCCCATTCATGTTTGCCATCCTATTTTTTACCCATTCCATCAATACATGGCGAAGAAAGTCGAAGGGTATGTGGTTTAATGATATGAAAACTATTTTTCTCCAATACAAGTATATTCCGGTTTCTATCGCTCAATGTTTCGGTAGAGGAATGTTTCTGAACGAGATGAAGAATTCAGGAACTCTAATAATCACATTAGTAATTATAATTCTTTTCAAGCTTTGTGGATGTTGTCAAATGATCCAATTGACTTTGTCTCAGGAATTGTTGGGAAATTATCCTCACCCTGACGAGCAATAGTTACGTGATGCCATCGTCAATAAATTTGCGTTATTGAGCAAGCGTGCCGTCAAGATGGCTGGATATTGGCTGAGTTCTTTTTTCTGCGTTTTTATGGACTGAGACGAAGTCTAGGATTTCGTTTTATGAATTAAGAATTTATTGTTTATTTCGAGAGAAGAAAAAGAAAGCCAGCTATTTTGAAGCAAAATAAACCCACAAGAGTCGTTCATGTTTTCTTTATTTTGACTGTCTTCTAACACTTTTAGCGACTCCATCGCAGACACTCTCCGGAAACTACGAAATTTTTTGTAAGTTCGTTCCGAGCAATTTTCTTTCTTGCGCGGGAGTGGGTAATCCAGAGCGGGCAAACCCCATCTTGCCCGCTCGGATAGCAAATCAGAATACAGGATTCGCTACGGGCAACGCCATCTATATAATAAATGACAGCTCATATTTTTGTGTCTGCAGCTATAGAACTTTGCTTCATTCTTAATGCTATCGGTAAGAGAGGAAAAGACGACTTCAAGAAGATGATAGACTGCATAAGATACATGGTACGAAAAATTGGCGTCACATCCGCCAACTACTGCCTGATAACTTTCAAGAAGGGAAAGGCTTTCCAGCACATAAGGTTCGACGAAAATGAATTATTGAAAAACGGCGATGAGCTTTTACTTAAAAAGCTTGATATTCTGGCTCGGAATCCATCCGTTAATTGCAGTCCAGCGCTACATGATGACTTTGATCAAGCATCAGAGGCCTTTGAAAACCAAGCCGCTCTCGGTATCAAATCCGAAAAGGTATATTTTATTCATTTTTTTCTTTGTACAACATCAACTTCAGAGAAACAGAGGGAAATCTCAAGTAACAAAATGGTTTAATCTGCCTCGTGGTCTTTTTTATTGCCACCCAGGTCATTATACTCTTCACCAATGATAGGACCGGATCATTTGGTCCTCAAAAGGGAAGACTGCTTTTGAAGACAAAATATCTAACTGAGACTATTGGTGCGAGAATTGTGACTGTCGCCGTTGGAGAACGTCCTCTTGTGGAAGAACTGGAGCTTATTTCTTCAGATAAGCAAATCATACGTTGTCCATTAGAAGATCTGGCTAAACTTGGAAAGATGTTGCTACGAGGTAATTCTTGTCGAGTGCTATTTTAAAGAATTCGAGAACGCCTAGCAGAACAGCAATAAATATACGACTAACGCTCGTACAACTTCAATTTTTTATCCATGTCTAAGGGCGGTTAGGTTTGTGATGTGTTCCATACCACTTTAATTTCTGACCTGATTAGGGTAGCCACAATTCATTTACGTGAACTAACAGCGTAATCTGCTTCGCTCTATCCCTTTCCAAATGAAGATTATATCACGAAGCTAATAATGCTTAAAACGCAAACATTTTCTGGATATCATTTAAAATGTTCTCCATTTTTTAACAAAAAATGTAATCCGATTTAATATTCTTATACGACTTTTAAGAAATGTATGATCTAATTGACCTATATTACAACTGTCCACTTTTTTCTTCTATTTGCAGAGGTTTACGAGGAGGATCTTTATGGTAAGTCTGTAATTAACATTGACCCAGGTTGAATTCTTGGACGCACAATCCTCTGATGGTTCTCCAGATGTTACAAATTTTATCCAGGTTCACGTTAATTCTCGTCCAGCATTACTATTACTGTATTTTTTTTAAATAAATTTATTTGTATAATCTGTTGTTCTGTTGGCCTCAAATGTAAGTTGGTACACTTCTCGGTAGCAATTGAAGGCAAAACGTTATTGGCGAAGAAATTATTTCTTGAGAAAACATTTGACCAAGTTAATAAAAGTGTCACCCGTTAAAAACACTTCCAGTAATCCTGCACTAAAAAAAAGTGCAAGTGCTAATAAATCCCCTTAAGGAACATGGTGAATCCCATAGTGCTAATTTCTAGGGCGGTAAAAACTTTAGTGTTGTTGTACTTAACTTAGTCGCTTATAATAACGCCAGAATGTTTGATAATAATGTTCTTTCTTTTCCATGTACAGATCGATATCTTGATTACTTCACCACACCATACTTCATATTCTTCAGAGACAGCCTTAGCTATCTGTGTTTGTTGGGTCTCCATGTGGCGATCTGTCTCTCGCCATCTGTTGTCTCCTTCTCCGGGCTGGAGTGGGTAATCTCGATATTCTTTGCCGGTCGCTTCCTGTCCGAATTTAAAGAATACGAAAACAGGAAAACGACGAAAAAACTGAAGAAAGACACAAGGCATTCCGAAAAACATAGAAGATATGTTTATCAGCAGTCACTTGACTTGGATTCACCCATTGAAGTAGACGATTTCCTCTCTCAGATGAGTTTCAGCACCTTAGGAAAATACTTCATGTAATTCTATACAATAACGAGTGAATAATCATTATTAAAGTGTTGTTCATCCATTGTCACTGCATTGATGAAATTGAGATTTGACGTCGTAGCCACACGGACAGCAATTTCTTTTTCAACTCCCTTCATTATTTCAAACCAGAATCGAAACAAAAACCAGCAGACAAAATGTGACCAAGACAGAATTTATACTCAAAATATCAGTAAAAATCAGGCAGAAAAGTGATGAAAACGAGCAACAATATCAATTAGGGGATTATTGGTTAATCCAATGCCAAGTTCTCCAAACTAGATCATAAGAGTTTTTTGGCAGGCAGTAAAGAGAATTGTAAATTAGATCTCGGGATTTAAAGGGTGAAAATATGGTAAAATGATTAATTCCATAAATACACTCGCGCGTGCATCATTACACCAAAATATGTAGGAATCCTGCCTTTTATTTCTAGTTTGCGGTCATTTTTTTCGTTTTCTTTTTCGGATGTTGCTTAACATCAGTTTATTTGGGTGTTGACGAAGAAATCAATCTATTTTGTCCGAAGGCAATTCAGTCTATTCTCTCCTAGTCTCTGCTCGTTTATCGATAGCCTTAATACTTTTTCCCCAGTGACCGGTGGAATGTGCTGGACTTCATCATGCTTGTTATTTTTGTGGTCACGTTCCTGCTGCGCATGATAACTTGGGGTGTGTCCGCTTCTGCGACTGGGAATCGAGCGTTGGTGATCGCTGGCTATTGCTATGGCCTAAACACTATGATTCTGACGTTAAGGGTATTTGGCCATTTAATGGAGGCGAGCAAGGTGACAGGCACAACACACATAGCTCTTATGAGCATCATTGAAGATGTGGCCACAATTTTCTTCCAGTTTCTGGTTGGAATCCTGGCGTTTTCTCTAGCAATAAGCAAAATTTATCTTGCCGAGGATTCATTCTTTTCAAGTGAAGATAAACTAGAGGCCAAAAGGTCAGTATCGGCAGCAGGTAGCATTGCAAGCTCATAGTTGCGTAGTGATTCTTGTCTAATGAGGATGAGTCACTAAATAGTCATACAAGATCCTCACTGCCAGGAAAGTATGACACTTTGGTAGCGGTCACTCACGCTTCAGAAGGCTTCTGCTCTGGCCAATAAGTACACCTTTTCACCATTTAGATCGATTCTGAAGCACTTCCTGCAGGAGTTCCTCAGTTGGCAGATTGTGTTAATCAAGGCTTAATTTCTGACTCGAAATTGACCTCTCTTCTTTTTTTTCCAGGGGCAACATGCAGTGCGGCAGCTCTGGATTATACTGGTTAGTTAAATTTTTTTGCCAGATTGAAGAAATATTTATTATCAGTGTATCTTGCTAATTATGAAATACCAAAACTTTGAACAGTTTCTAACGTTTTTTACCATGAGATTATGATATCTAGCTTTTAGTGATTAACTTTTACTTTTACTGGGAACGTTCTTCACCGTCTTGTGTGAAGTCTTAGTAAGTGGTAATTTGGGTCTATGGAACATACGTGGGATGATATTTCTTCTTCATCAACTCAATTCTTTCCTTTTGTTTTAGTTGGTGGGTAATTATCAAGCATCTTTGCTGGACGTTGCTGGGCGTGACAGAATTGGAGCAATTCAACGCTGGCATGGAAACTGCTTCAGATTATCTGGCTCAAATTTTGTATGCAGTATTCATTATTTTCGCTCTAATCCTCCTTGTCAATATGATGATTGCTGTCCTCTCCAATACATATGAACGAGTCCAGGTATGAATTTGAGATACTTTTAATTGATCGAGATTGCGAGTACGAAATTCTTAGGTTAATTCAAATTCAGTTTTTATGAAACTGTTCCAATAAGGACAATAGTACAAAAGACGAAATTCCTTTCCCATGAGAGGACAAAAGCTTGCTTTGGCATGGTGTAGGACAAAAGCTTTGATGATTCCATTCTTGTGTGTCATGATTCCAGATTTTTTATTGATGCATGTGTTTCCTTCCACAATATTAATTTTAAACAAAATAGACCCTGTGATAAGGACAACGAAAAAGTTCCCTGATTGAGGATGTGATTGTTATCTTCATTTCCACAGAAAAACTCTTTGAAGGAGTGGTCTTTCAAAAGAGCGGTGACAATTCGTACCTACAGGGACTACCATCCGATTCCAGTACCGTTAAACTTGGTATCCCAACCTGTTCTAGCATTGCGAAAGGGATCGAAATACGAACTGCGAGACAAATTGGACAATGAGATATTACAGAAAAAGGTCAGCTCAAGTTTACTACAGCTTCTTGCGAGATTCCACTTTTTACCATTTTCACATCTGGCGCGCTGAGAGAAACATTTAATTAGTATGTTTCTCTGGTATCCCATCAACGTTTTTGTTCTTAACGAAACACCTAATTCATATAATACCTCTTGTTATTTTTTTGTTCTTGCCAGGAGGAAGCCTTAGATAGCATGACTGAAAAGTTAAAAATGATTTATTTTGCGAAGCATGGATCCACATTTCCACTGTCAGGTGATGTTCCTCTCACTTGCCATCAAGACTATCGCATCCAGTGTTTGGAGTTGCTAATTTTACTCACTCTGTGATTTTAAAGACAAATGATTGAAGCAAAGTGGCCGCTTCAACCATGGTTGAAAAAATAGTGCATCGGAAAGGTTCGAGCTGACGCTTCAATTATAAAAGATGTAACATAGTAATTGAGATTGTATCATCAACTCCTTTTCACAGATGAGAGTAAAGTCAACACCATGCTGTCAGAAACGGACAGGAACCGGGAGATGTGCAATCAGATCGTTAGACAAGTATTCCCTGATCCCAATCAAGCGGATCATTGTCCCGTTGGACGATCGGTAAGTTACCTCATCACACCATTTTGTTATAGTCATTTCAGAACAACCAGACTCAATAGGTTACGACGGACCCACGACTGCACAAAAACGAGGCATTGTTTCGTTTGATGATTTCAACAGGCATGGAAGAGTCAAGGAATTCATATTGAAGATTACATGTTAACCTACGTCGGCCCAGAACTTTGCAGCAGTTGTAAAATTTCACCAAAGGAATTCCATGGCGCCAGATACAAACAGCCGTTCTCCGTAGATTTCCCCAAATTTGAGGTAAGTCAGGAAATTGTGTGATACTTGTGAAATAACAACCTGTATTCACCGAAGTGGAGGTGGATATTTGCCGAACCGCAAAGTGGCGAGGTAAATATCAACTGCTAGCCTCCGACACTGAGGTGAATTGTTGTTTTAGTATATAATAACCAGTGAGATGATGTAGTACAAACATTTGATTTTAACTCATTTATTAGTTTGTCCTTGCAACGATTACAATATTTTCAGGCGCAAATGTCACGCGTGTCGCTTGGAGGAAAATATCAAAGGAAATTCGGAGTTTGAGTAGCTGATCAGTGTGCCTTCAACGCTATCCACTGTTTTAGTATATATTAAAAGCGAATATCAGTTAAAGCAATCAAAGAATCCTTATCATCTGAATGTACTTTAGGTGGTGGTTCAAGAAGGCGGAACCGAGAGGGACTTAGTCGTTGGTGTGGTTCGTGGAAAACATGACGTACATAGAGCCGCTGGAGATGTTCGCCATACTGTTGGTTATCATGCGTGTAATGGACTTATTGTTTACTGCGGTGCATCTGGAAAACAGACTTTTGAAGGTATTCAGGCTTAAGTGACACAAATCTCGTGACGTTTTACAACTAGTTATAAGTTGCGCAAAGGAAGTGTACCCTCTATGTTCTCTACCAGACAGTGTTTTGGAGTTCTCTAGTATCTCCGGATTGTTTCTAGTCATTAGTGTCGCTACCCATTAGTGAAACCCTTTTCCGTTTCAATTTTGTACGAGAAACCGAATCGAAAACACCCGCAGGATTGCAATTTAATTTCACCTTAGCAACGACCCTCGTCTTATATTCTATCTTCAGTATACAGTCAGTGACTGAAACCAGCTTTGAAGTACGCTTATTTCGAAATTGTGATTCGCTCATCGTTTTTGCATGTTGTAAGCTTGATTTCTCTATTTCTTCGCCACCAGGTCCTGTGGTATATCGAGGGGATTTGATTGGCTGTACCGTAGGTTTTGATGAGATACAAGATGGGAATATTCCAATTTTCTTCTCCTTAAATGGACAGATAGTGGCTCAGATTTTGGTGGAGTTAGGATCTGATAAATTAGATCTTTACCCTTTTGTTGGAATGAAGCATGGAGGAATTAGAGTGCTGGCGAAGGTTCGTTGAAATGGGATATTTTTACTCTTATGCAAAGTACGGAAATGAAACCGTAGTTGTCTCTTTAGTGCACCAAAATATTTTTTTCTGACTTCACTCTTGGCTATACTAGATGAGAAGACCTAGTGGTCAGCGCCCCAGACCTCGGGCCAAAAAGTCTAGGTCCAAACCCCGGTTGGTTCATTGTCTTGTGTTGTTGGGTACTGTAGGAAAACTTACAATCACTCTTTCCACCATGAAGGGGGTAACCTGCATTCCATTTAAAAGAAAAAGGAGGAATATTCTTCCCACTCCTATTTCTGCCTTCCTAAATAGCTTCCTTCTTTCCCTCCTAACTTATCATGTACGTGCCTTCGGGCCCATTTTATTAAAATTAAGTGTTGGTATTTTCCCTCCTGCTTTCTGCCTTTCAGATGTGTCCAGGGGAGGTCAAGTATTCAGAAAGACCGCAGTCCTCAAACGGCTCAGATGATGGGTTCGGTACGATGTTCAGTGAGACTGAACAACGTATGATTTTATATCAAACGTTTGATTCTGTGGAAGAGATAAAAGAGACAAACGATGCTCTAGTGCAGTATGTGCACGACAAGATTAGCGAAACAGCAGATAATGTAAAAAAACACAGGGAAAGCATAAAAAGCATTGAAAGTACTATTGAAATTCAAAATAAGAAGATAGAACACATCGAAAGTACCTTGTCTGAGATTCTAAACATTGTTAAAGTAAAACAGTAAAACTGAGGCTACCTGTGGCTAAGATAATTAACAAACATTTTCAAGCTATTGAAAGTTCACTTCGAGTTTAGCCAAACTTTTGTTACCTTGTGTGTCCTTTTTGACCTTAAAAGGAATCTCCTCGTTAAAATCAGATAAAATCACTGCAGCTCTTCTATATGTTGATGAACGTTGTCATGGCAATCAGAACGGAAGGGAAAAGAAGAATATCAGTCAATAAATGAGCGTTTTAACTTCTCAATTGAGTAATCTTAAAAAAATTAAATTTATCAATGAATTTATGTGTTGCATCTTCTCGAACACAGAATGTCAGTTTTTCTTACACTTCTCCATACTTCGACCTTTTACCCTTTCAACCTTTAGGTTCTACAATAAAGTGGTCCTTCAGAGTAAAGCGACCTCCCCTCTCTCCCCCGTGCGGAGCAGTAAAGGAAGTCACCGCGCTCTCTCTATAGCTCCAAATTTGCTCAACACCAACACCTCAGTTCTCGTACGCTCGTGTGCCTATTTTGGGGTTTGATCATTTAACCCTTCAAACCCTAGGAGTGACCAGCTTCTAATTTCTCATTACAGTGCCACTGCTGAATTATAAAGATCATGTGAATAAAGGAAATGATCACCAACTTAAGAAGCTTTGATTATTAACCAAATTCTCCTCGTAAGTACTGAGGGAACTGTATAAAAGAGAGTATGGAGAATGTGGACACTGATGCTAGGGTGTAGAGATTACGGAGATTTTTCCCGAGTCGGTCTACTTACGGAGTTATTCTGGTGTGCTTCGATTGCTGTTTCCTTTAATTTCAGGTTACTCGTGCTACAAAATGCAATAAACACACGAGATCCCACTTTTTTATAAACGTTAATAGAATTCATGATATATTTTCTTCTTCAGCTCAACATTACCTTAGTTGTCGGTTCACTCAATTGTGCTTTTCGAGTTTCACTCTTTACTTTCATGATGATTGTTAAACCAATGTTACTGACAAGAGAGTTACTTCTTTACGCACTTAAACCGTCGTTACACATAATTCGCCGCCACTAGATATCATATCAACATCATTGCACGTCATTCACAGGGTATCTGCAATTTCGTCCCTTGACCGCCCCTGAGGTAAGACAAGTTTTCCCCAAACTTTACTAGTTCGCCCCCAAATCTTGAACTCGTTTCCTTATGGCATAACATACTCCTTTTCGGTCGAAATCCCAACATATCTCGATAAATATGCAATTTGTTTTTTTCCTGAACACTCGACTACGAGTAGCATCAGGTGCTAGTTTGTGGGCTCTTCGGGTGAAAACGGTTTCATATGAAATGTATAGCAAAAAATGCCAGTCTTTTACTTGTTTATTGTGCTAATTGGTCGTTAGAGTCACTAAAGGAATACCTTGATGGATAAGTTGAAAGCCTCCACGGGAATTTTAGCGGTCAGTACCGTGGTGTAATCTGGTTGGGGCCTTGAGAAATTGGCTATAGCAAGTGTCCCAATCATTAGTAGACTCGGTCCTCAAGACTCGAGCCTCCATAGCAGCAGTAGTGGCAGACAACATTAGCCCCTATCCTGTTAACTCGTTCGCTGCCGAGTGACAATGACGTCATCATTATCTCAAACATCCTTGGGGTCTGTATAAAAAAACGTGTTGTCAGTCAGGAGATACTTGGGGCTCAAATTGTCCGACGTGCTATGATGATCGTAATGGTACCACGATCCATCTACGCTCAAAGGTCAGGGACTCAAAAGGACCACATTGACAGAGGTTCTGATGCGTTCCCCGTGTGTCACTTTTGACGGATCGGCACACCTTTTAATCCCGGCAAGGGAAAACATTTTCTCCCATATGTTTGGAAAGTCAGTCGTGATCTCTGGCATAAACTTCTAAATGGACGTTTCCTAAATTAGCAGTTTTGGAAAGGTTTTTTTTTTTCGTTATTGATGTCATTCGCCCTCGAACTTAAAATAAGTACAGATTTTCATCAAAGAATTGGTGGTAAGAGAGGATAGAGTTCTAGGGGCTATTTGCCATGGATAATTTACTGAGTATGATGTTTTCCTAACTAACTGTTTTGCCGTTTTGTTCAAATGTATTATATTTCTTTTTTGCAATGTTCAATACCTTAGGTAACTTTGTGGAAATCAGTATGGACTCAATCAAAGAAAAAAAAAACAAAAATGAAATCATACATATCAGCACAACTCAATGTAGTGCAAGGCAATGCGATGCAATGAAACATGATTTCAAGTGCAGTTTGGAGTAAATAAGCACGAGTAAATTTTCAAAGATAACAAAATTGCACGCGCCCGTAGGGCAAGTATAATTTGCAGTCTTTGTAAAATTAGTAATGCAAATGAAAAAATATCGCAGAAAGTCAAACAGACGAAATTTTGAAAGCGTGCGCGCACTATTTGTAATTTGTACATTATCAAATTTAATAAAATTAATATAACAACAGGAGTTGGGATCACGACGCAGGTCTCACTAGTCCTTGTGGCTTTATCGAAATCCATGTAAAATGCAGATTAATGATAACTTAACGCAGCAACTGAGCTTAGTTTTTTTTTTTTTTTTTTTTTTTATTTTTTTTAAGAGCTACTTGTTCTTTTGACCGGAAGTAGAAGAAGTCTGAAAAAGACTGACATCTAGATAATACTCGAGGGAGTGGTTTATCAGGATGTCAATCTATGACGTATAACGGCTGACATGAAATAAGCCAATCAGCAACGAGTATTTGACCACTTGGGCTCCAAAGAAGACCAGGCGCGCTTTTCAAATCTTTCTGTTCTGACAAAAACACGTGAAAAGATGACACACAGTTTCAATCTTCCGAGAGAAGCTTAAAGATGGTCTTCTTCAAAGCTCACAGAGTGGCGAAACCCAACGAAAATTTTTCCGAACTGCGAAGAGGAAAGAAAGAAGAAACTGGTGAGTTAATTTTTGCTTTGAATATAAGGGTTTCACTTGTACGAAAATGAAACATAAAATTTCCCACACACACGTGTTTCACGGAGAAACTTGTGGCTCAGCTCGTTCCGGAAAATTCACGTGAACGCCAACGAAAAATTGGTTAAGGTTTTCAGTTAGAGCGAGGTGAGAATTTTAATGACACGTGTTTCGTTACAGAACTTACCAAAAGAATTACTTCTTGGCCTTCTTGCGTTCGTCATTAATTCAAAATATGAATGTCGCAGCCGTGGAAGATGACCCACAAGCTGCAGAGGAAATAGAGATAGGTGAGTAACTATACTCCTTTGATATATTTTCCCATTAACCAATATGGAATTTTCAGCAATTCAAAATGAACGCTAAAAAACTTGAGAATAATTTGAGAATTTTCTCAAGTGGTGATGTTCAAAACACTTCTAACCTTGAATGGCTTTCGGCGCGAGAGCTTGTCCTGCATGTTTCCAAAACGTCTCCAATTTTTTTTTACCGAGCAAATTGGATTAATATTTTTTGTTTACAAAATTCGCTTATTAAATAGTCCATTGTTCGTTAGTTTTTATTCAGTTTTCCGTTCATGTTACAGTAAAAGTTGTGTTTTCGGCTTCAGTTAAAGTTTTTAAGCAATGTTCGTAGATAATAATTTGAAACGTACACAGGTCACTCTCACCATTTTTATTTTCAAGCTGTTGCTTGTTTCATCTTTTTTTTGGACGCCTCTGTCTCTAAAATCGCTGATTCAGCCGATTTTTCGTAATCATGAAGTCAGTCATTGCCGTAAAGTACTCCTACATACAGCTTACCCGCAAAAATAAAATTGCGTATAAAAGAAAAGAAATTGTTTGAAATTTTACCATAAACTGTAAAAGTGGACAAATGCAATTGCACAATCGAGAAATTCCCTAAAAGACCTGCGTTGTCCCGTAGGGTTAGCAATTATTCCTACAATTGTGAATGTATCTCTGGCTTTAGGCTCCAAAAGTTTCCAGAACTTTTTAACAGAAATACTTATTGATGCAATTATTCAGTCACTCTGTCATTTACTCATTCATTCCTCTATTCCCTCCGTCTTTCCATCCTTCATTTATGTATGCACCAACTCTTGTATTCACTAACACATTAATTCTATCATAATTGAATTAAAAATTCGGTGGGTTCTTTTTTTCGGTTTCAGTTTCACCATTTCCCTGTGGTATGTGCCCGTGTTGTTCTACCACCTGGTTCAGCAACCACTTCACTCAAGCAAGTGTGTACCAGTCTGGCTCTGATGGGGACATTCTAAGATGTGTGAAATTGGATCGTTGGAAGATGAGACCTAAGGTTTCTCTTCACTCCTTTCCAATTTATGCTACATCTTAGGATTTACTCACAGATGTTCAACTGGGAAAGAAGATACTGATGGAAGACAAGTACAAACTGGTTAGCTCATTTCTTTTGGGTTGGACGGAGGGTTATCAGTTAGAGCTCTGGATGAACCTTAATTCAAATTTCGGCTCGAAGTCCATAGACTTCGCATTCGGCTTAATTTAATGTAGTTAGGTTAGTTAGTTGGGTCCCCATGGGTCGGATGGGTCCTCCCTGTAGGTTTCTCCTTTGGGTTCCTTTTCAGGTACTTTCGGCTTAAGTTCGACATAGGTTTTCGGTTTAGGTTCGGTATATATTTCGGCTTTGTGTCACGGCGTCAACTGAAAGACTACAGCTCTTCATTTACCTCGACTGGAGTAAGGAGCTACAACGGCACTTCTGTGGTCAGCACAAGCTGCTTCGTTACTAAATCTCCCGCTTAGTTGCACGCTTCTAAAACTTACTTTTCATTTAAAGTTTCACTAGATAGCAGCCACACAAAGGACTGTCATCCAGTGAGACTCTTTCGTCCAAATTATGCCATAAAATTAATTCGGGCAAAACCATTTTGGCCTAAAGGTTCAACCAGACATTTACTTATTGTAGGTATAAGTAACTGGAGATTTGAGGCCATTCAGCTGAGGGAGTATGCCCATTTGCTACTTCTATCATGTTTAGTGGTTTAGCTCCAGTTGAAGCCGCCAGTCGAGGCTTCATTTAGTGGGAAATAGGAGTTATGCACACACCTCAGTTTAGGTTACAACTAAAATTAAGCCAATTAAACAGTACATTGTGATGGCTTGAAAGCTGTCAGTCAAAAGTTTGGGCCATTGTTTTCGTTTCTACAACTCAAAACAATTATCTTGTCACGTCAGCCAAAATTTGGTGAGATATCAACTCATCATCTAACACCACAAATGAGGTTGCATCGGTGGAGAGGGCATAG